TTTTCTCTCTTACAAATCATTTTACAATAGCCTATCGTAACACACTTCATTAAGAAAGAAAAATCCTGCCCCATTTAAACTCTAAGTATGTGGAATCATAACATTCAATTCTTTTCTAAAAGGCTATTTATTTTAAAAATCAGTTTAAAGTCATCGCTGCTCTTTCCTGTTGTTCTGATGGGTAGATGATTTCATTTTAGGGTTTGCCAGCGAGTCGGGTGAGGTACAGAGTGGACGACGTGCAGTTTCCTTATCCTGCCAGTATTTTTGATGTAGAAGAAGATTCTGGAAGAGTAATAACTCGAGTCAATCTTAATGAAGAGCCTACAACAATTTTTAAGGTCAGTGTACCATTTTCTTCATGACGTCTCTTTGACATTTACCACTGAGGGTTTAGATTAACAGATGCTAATATGATTTTTATTATCATTTTTCTCTTTTGAATTTTTTGAGAATTACAAAGAAACAATTTCCTCATTGGAGTTAAGAAAACAGTTAAAAGTGACATATAATCCCAGTGGATGGACCCACACTAAACAACATTTTGGGACACAAATCTGACTCTGTAGGTTATATTATTTATATAAGCGAGTACATTAAATTGAGCAGGGAGCAGCCAGGGGGAGGTTTGGATAGGTGAGGGGATCTAATTACCTTCAAACTATATTGTATGAAAATCTCAAAAATTCAATAAAAAATAAAAACATTTAAAGTAACATAAAATCACTTGATATTTTGCATCTTGGCGATGACTGATCTGATGATGGAAGTCTACACAAATCAAAGTATACATGTACATGCTTTTAAATAAGTCATCATAATATCCAGTCTATACTCAATTATATAGTGTCCATACCAATCAATACAAGCAGTGCTTTTGTTCTAATGGTTATATGGTGCTCAATTGCAAAAGTAAACCATGGTTATGTATTTATTTATATTTCTAATACCCTGATATTAGATAGCTGTTGCCATTTTTTCATAGCACAGAACTCTATTGTTCTGAAACTGCTTCTGTGAATGTCATTTTCTACTTGCTGATATGATTTCTAAAGGTAAGTACCTACAAGGAAAATTACAGGACTAAATTCTTGTATTCTTGATAGATTATGCTTCTAGAGAATTTGAAAAAATTTTCTGTTAACCTATGTTGAGTTAGACCAATAACCTACAATTTTCACAAGAATATACATCCCAAGGAAACACATAATTGTGAAAATTTTGAACATAGATGAAGAAAAATATTAGAGAACTTTGTAAAATATGCTTACTAAGGACAATTACCAATTATATAACAAAAGCTAATGTAATAATGATATATAGATATCACTTCAATAAACTAAAGGTTTATTTTAGATTGTATCATTTGAAAAAATTTCTGCTGTGAGATATGAACTTGGTTTTACATAATTAATTGTTATAATAGATTATATAACAAAACATATTAAACCATAAAGATTTCCAATTTTATTCTCTAGAGAGAAGTGTTTCTGCTCTGTAAAGTCACAGACAATTAATTCACTGGAAAATTAATTTCTTTTTATAAGCAAGCTAATTAGCTTTTTGCTATTGATGTGACAGAATTTAACACCTTTTAAATAAGTGTGTTGGTACTATAAATGCACTTTTTTTCCCTTACTGTAGGCAGCAATGGAATGTAGAAAATATTTGTATTTGGATAGATGTAGCATCATGCATTGGCCTTACTGGAAGTTGATTTTTCTTTTTTTAAAGTTTTTTTTTTTATTGAATTTTTTGTGTATTTCATACAGAACATCTCAAACATTCTTAATCATCTTTATACCCTTCTATAGCACACCCACTGGAGCCCATATACTCTTGTCATCTCTGTTAAGGCCCATTGTGTCATCAGTAGCCCCAGCTGTTCCCCAATGCAACCTCTACACCCAAGGCTCATGGAACATAGACTAGGAATAAAGAAGTGGACACTAATGAATCCCTCATTCTCAGTAACGAACCTCCTTAATGCAGCAGAAGTGTCAGGAATACAAAAGGTCACAAATGGCCAAAATGTAGAGATCAAGAGTCCGTTGAATGCTGGTACTCAGACATGACCCCTTTATTAAACTTCACCCACCCAAGGTTCAGGGACCATCATGGAAGAGGGGGTGGAAAGATTGTAAGAGCCAGGGAAGAGGTGCATGACTGTATGGAAACAGAGCCCTACAAGCTCCTGGGAACCTGCTCATATGATTCTATGGCAGTGGCATCAGTATACACAAGTCCCATGCAAACTCAGGGAGACAAAAAATCCATCATAGAACTGAGAAAATGAAGAGCAGATGCCAATTTTATCTGAAGAAATATTGGCAACTGATTGCTGCTAGGTGAAGAAGAGCTGATCTTCCTAAAACAAGGGACTCTAGATAAGCTGACTAGACCTCAGTGGATGGACTTGCACTGGGGAAGTTAATTTTTCTCAATAGAATTTGTATCTCATTTGAATGTTTTTTTCTTATAAAAATGACATTACCTACCTTGGTTTTTATGAAGATTAAAGGAG